TGTCACTTTCATTCTCGAGTCTCGGGGGGATTCGTGGAACAGGTTCCCTCGCTTAGCTGGAAACCCAACATATGATTTAATCCATACTAAAAATAATTATAATACATAATCAACGCACTACGCGGAAAAATAAACAAAAGTTTGATTAATTACAGGCTTAAAGCAAAACAAAATTGAAAGTGTATAATTTATGGAAATACAAAACAATTTTTAAGAACTTTGAATTAATAAAAAATAAAATATTTTTTAATTAGGGGACAATCATAGAAATTAATTTCAAGTATTTGCATAAAAATGGCAAGAAAAAATCTATTAAAAAAGAGCATAAATTAAAAGTGGTTATAAAAACGCAATTGATTATATAACTCTTCAGGAACTTATACCAAAAATAAACTTAATATTAAGCTATTAAACAAGAATATTTTTAATAAAAATCCCAATTAATTCTATTTCATTTCAAGTTAAAATTTTCACAACGGAAGTAAGCCAAGTAAAATCACCAATGCAGATGCAACTAGCCAAAGTTATTCATAAATAAATTGAAAACAACACATAACAGATGTAGATTTTGAATATATATATAGAGTGTATTTCATTTATACGCATTTCACCCATATATGCAGATTTAATTCCAATTCGTATCCGAATCACCAACAAAAGTCAGACATCACGTCAGAGAAGAGCTGAGAAGCAGCAGACAGAGCGGCAAGTTTATTCCAGTTGAAGTTCAAGGTGAGAGAGCAGCCAAGCAATTGCTCAACACACACAAAAAATTAACACAAAAAAGGAAATACAAACATATAGAAGTATATATAACATATAACGCACAACCTTGGCATTGTGTGTATTGTTGACCAACCCCCGAAAACAATTTCAATTTAAATTGATAATTAAATTTAAATAAAAATTGTGCCTTTTGAGGTGCAGCATCTGATTGGGGGACTGGACATAAGTGGGTATATATCATTTCAATCTGAGAGTTATGAGGTAATCCCAACGGAACGCGGTTCTTAAATCAGACTTTTACCCATTGACCCAATCCCCACTTTCAAAACGTGCTGCATGTGTTTGTTCTTTATCTTTGTAGAAAGTTATATTACTCATATTTAGTTTGACCTTTTAGTTGGCTTGCAGCTTTACCGTTATTCTCTCACTTTTACTATAGTTTATATGCATTTATGTAGATACGTGTAACTGTACAAACAGCTCTATTAACTGCTGACTCACATGTGTCTGAATTTGTTTTGATTTCCTACATGCGCCAGGTTTTTGTCTGGGCCCAGTTATTACACTAAGCTACAGTTGAGAGGGTTTAAGATTTGTTAATTTATTAATTTTAATTAATTTTTGCGATTTATTTATCATTAATAAACGTTATAAGCAAGTAATAAGCTTGCTCTATCTTAATGAAGAAATATAATTCCTATAAATATATCATAGAATAATTTGGTTTTAAAAGTTTTTAAAAAGTATATAGTTCTTGAAAATCAGTAAAATACTTCTAAAGTCGGAACTCTCACATTTACCATCAAAAAGAAACCTTAACAAAGTCAAAAATCCCCACCAAAAACCCGTCCAAAATTATTTTCTATAAAATTACCTGAAATATATATTCCTTATATAAGTTTTAGTTTAAAATTCTGTTGTTCAGTGCCCCCCTATATCATATTATATTATACATTTATGTATGGCTATGGTAGGAACCTGTCAACCGACTTATCCATATATATACAACCATATAGCAATCGGCAAGTGCCGTCAGGGTCAACGGGTTGCTGGTTTAACAGTTCGAGTTGCTGGCAGAAAAAATAAACAGAGACTTACCTAGATCAGGAATCGAGCTGGAAGGCTCCTCGCCATTGCTGCTGCTGCTGCTGGAGTTGGAGCTGCTGCCATTGTTGCTGGAACTGGAGGCATGCTTGACCTTGGGCGGTGGCGGAGGCGGTGGTGGCCGCATCACCGAGCTGCCCAGATTCTGTGGCTGTTGCTGCTGCTGCTGCTGATGTTGCTGGTGGTGTTGCAGATTGCTGCTGGAACTCGAACTGGAGCTAGAGCTAGAGCTGGACACCACGGGCGTGCGAAAGATGTGGGCAGAAGAAGAGCTGGCGGAGCCACTGGGGGAACCACTACTAGAGCTAACACTGGCAATCACATGCTGCTGGTGATGTTGCTGCTGCTGTTGGTGTTGCTGCTGCTGTTGTTGCTGGAAGTGATTGGCGGCAATCACGTTTACATGTCGCGTGCTAGTGCTGACCACAAACTTGCGAGCCGCCGCCGTGGGTGGTGGCACTCCAGTGGAGATATATTGCTGTTGCTGCTGCTGCTGTTGTTGGGGTGGTGGTGGCGGCGGTGGTGGCGGAGGAGGAGGCGGCGGTGGCGCCAGCGGTGGCGTCTGCCTCTGCTGATACTGCTGCTCCATGTAGCTGCCGCCGCCTCGCCTGGCAATCACCGGGGAAACGGGCGCCGATCGGGAGTGGTGGTGCAATGGTGGTGGCGACACTGAATGTCTTCTGGTGGCCACCACCACAGTGGTCTCATCGTACAGGCGGCCATCGCGGATCACTCGGACATGTTGCTGCTGTTGCTGATGGTGCAACGGCGGCGGGGACACCTGTTGCCGCTGCTGTGGCTGTTGCTGCTGCTGTTGATAGTGATGCAGGGCCGAAGGACTCGCCGAATGGCGACGCGACAGGTGCTGACTGGAGGGCAGGGTGCGGGTGATGATGATCTGTGGGGTTCCAGCACTAGATCCAGAGGCGGTGGTCAGCAAAGCTGTTCCCTCGGGCGGCACAGAACGTGATTGCTGCTGCTGCTGTTGCTGTGTTGTGTAGATATGCTTTACTGCAGCAGCCGTGGAACTGGTGGCCCTTTGCTGCACATACTCCACGCGAGGCGTTAGAATGACCTTCTGAGTGCCACCGGGAGTGGTCAGACCCGTGGGCTGGCGTGGCGGCACAGTCTGCACCTGGACGTGGGTGTATCTCTGGGGGATTTGGGGGGCACTGCTGCTGGGCTCTCGCTCCCGCTCTAGATCCTGCTGCTGCTGCTGCCGCTCGCTCTCCTCGAGATGCAGCATCTCAAAGTCGATGGGCTCGGTTTTGATCAATTTGGAGCCGGAAACTGAGGATGATCCGGTTCCGGAGGAGGCGCCTGAGGCCGCGGCAGCTGCTGCCTGGACCGCTTCCATGCACTTGAGTTTCTTCAACATGATGTGTATCCAAAAAAAAAGCGTGAAAAGTCGCACAAAAATATCAATATTTAATATTCAGATATAATCTAAATATGTTTTTTTTCTTTGTATGGAAAGAGTTGTTGCTTGTTGCCTTGGTTTTCTTTTTTTGTTTTTGTGGATTTGATCCTGAATCACTTTTGCCTCACTGCTGCTGTCCTTGTTATCCTTTCCTTTGCTTGCTTTTATTTATTTTAAAATCAGTCTCTTCTTCTTAACGCTTTTGTTGTTGCTGTTGTTGTGGTAATTTGTAATTTGTTTTTGTTGCTTCTGGATTTTTGGATTATCAAAATATTTGTTTCGTCAGCCTTCAAAGTTGCAAGTTCCGTTTTGTATTTTGTATTCTGTATGCTATTGTATCCTAGAGAGTTTTTTTGTTGTCCTTAGTTGTAGCTTAGCGTTTGCCCGATTCTTACCATATATCCATATAAATATATAATATATATATATCTTTATCTGTTTCTGTTGTATTCTGGTTGAGGCTTCTTCCGTTGACAATGACAATGAGTTCGACTGAGTTGAGTTGAATGAATTATTGGAGTCTGAGTTTGCTTTAGTTGCTAATAATACTTGATGGTTTATTGTTTGCTGATTTTATGCTCCGTTCGATCCACACCACCAGCGGCTGAGTATGTTTGTAGGTATTTTCCTTGAAGTAGCTGGGGAATGGAAAAAAAAAAATATATTCAAAATCCTTTAAAAAAATCGTTAAATATAAAAGTCATTTGAAAGAGTAACTCACTTTATTTGCAAATTGAAGTATATCGATTGATTGTTGGATTGATTGATGTATTGATTGATTAAAATCGTTGAATAATATGTATAAGAATATATATTTATGATCGTATTTGTGTGAGTGTATATAGTTTAAACCTTTAATTTGTTTGTTTACCCATCGATTTCGTACACTATTTTATATTTTTTATTTAAGTTACAAGTTACACGATTCACAAGATTTATTAATTATTATATTCCAAAAATATATATATATATATATGAGTTATTTATTTATAGATTTTGCACATGAAACACAACGCTGTTATAAACTTGTTGTTACAAACTTTTTATTTTCTTTAAACCTGAGCAGTGATTTTTTTTAGCTTTTCTTAATTTAGATTTCCGTTTTTCTTCTTCCTTGGAAGTAGGCTTAGTTGGTTATTTCTTTTTTATGTTTTAAACACCTCTAGAAAAATATATATTTATGGTTGTTAATTAGGTTTTTTTATATTTTGGGGGGCGTTGTGGGAGCTTTGATAGAATTTTTCAAGTGCCAACTTGTTTTAAGGATTCAATTTTAATATTATTTTCTTCACTTTAATTTTCTTTGATTTAAATTTGATTTGCAGTTGTTTTTTTATATATTTTATTATACGATTTGCAGGACTTTACACCTGTCTCTGCTGACTTTTGACCGTTGTGCCTGGCGAACGCTTGCCAGATTTGTTTATTAGGAACAGCTTATTGAAACACATTGTGAAGCACATAATTTCCTCGCTTGGAATGCCACAGCTGTTTTACCAATTTTCCCACATTTTCATATCTCAAAATTTGTAACGCTTTTTTCACTCGAATAATTGGCCAACAGCTGAGGGTCGGTTTAGACGGTTTGGGGGGTGGCGAGAGAAACAGCTGGGAGGCGGATTTGCGGATATTTTGTTATTTTTTTTTATTTCTGCGGAGGACTTTCGGTTCAAGAACAAGGACGCGGGAGAAGGACCCAAGCAGCTGTTCTCGGCCTGCACAAGGACAAGGACGCTCCCGATGCCAGGCGATGCGATACGATACGGAGACGGAGACGATACACGGACACGAGTACGGACACGGTTACGGCCACGGTCACGGCTCAAATGTGGCCCACACTTTGGCGCCCTTGACAATGGGCTGCTACCGCTTACGGCTTATGTAAGGCAGCTCGGCGCTGTCCCATAATTATTGCACATTATTTATTTTTTCGATTTAACAGCACAATTTCCTTATTTCCTTGGCAATTTTCTATTCTCAGTTGCAAAATTCACTCTGCTTTCCTCAGCTGTTGTTTGGGGCTGGTGTTTTGTTTTTTTTTTTTTTTTTTTTTTAGTGGTCTTGCTAAAATCGCGGCTGGCTGGAATATATATCGCAACCGTTGGCCGTACTTTCTCGACTGAAACTGCAAAAGCTTCGGTTCCGAAAGCCAGACAGAACAGAACCTGAGGAGAGGAACCGAGTTCTCACGCTCTCTCTGTGTCTCTCTCTCTCTGGCTGAAAAAGCTGCACAACGAAAGTGAAAACCGTGTGAAAAATGAGAGGAAATAAGCAGGAATGAGCGGAAATGAGCGGAAATGAGCGATGAGAGAGAGAGAGGGCGACTGCGTACTAGGAAGCGAAGGCGAAGAATACAAGCAAAACATAAATAAACAAAAATAAACGCGAATGAGGCAAAAGCAAAAGACGCACATAATAATGCTTTTCAGCTTCTTTTATGCGTTTCTTCTTGTTCTTTCTTTTTTTTACTGTGGGGGGGTTAACAAATTCTGGACTGGGGCATTTCAATGGGGGAGTTTTCATGGAGTTTCTAAGGGTTGTTGCTTTGCTTTTTGGGGGTTGCGTTTTTGGGCCTCAACTTCCGCGTTTCGGGTGCGTATGAGTAATATGTGCGTGCGGGGCAGATTGCTGGACGGGGGAATGGGTTTTCCCTTGGGTTTGGGTTGAGTTTTCCTGGGTTAGGGCAGGGTTACGCATTGAGGTAGGTTCGGTCTGTGTGTAATTGATGAAACAAGTGGAGCTGGTGGAGTGTCAAGCAGAGAGTCATAAATATTCAAAGTTGGAGCAACTGAAGGAAGTACTGTGGTTTTTGGGTTTTCTTGGTTTTCTTAGAAGTGGTTTAAATTTGTATTTAATTAAATCTTGTTACTAGTATATATTGAAAGTTTAGTTTCTCAAGCATTCATTGAGATCCTTTAACTATTTTCTATTTTCTAAAAAGGAAGTAAAAATAGTGATTTAAAGCCACAACATCAGCCTCATTTAATGACCTTCCTGCTCCCCCATTAATAGTCATGTAAATCGCATAATTTCACTCACTTTCACTCGGTCACCTGCCCAGTAAAAAGCAAACCAGAGCAAACATGTGACATTGTTTGTACGTAAAGTCAAGTGAAAAGCAAAATGCATTTTCCGTAAGGCCATGAGATAGATGATGATGCATCGTGCCAAGTGGAAGCTTCCGCAAACGTCAGTGGAAAGACCTCCAAAATAAAAGCAACAACAAACATTACAATAACATTGTGCACCAAATAAACCGCTATTTGCAAAGCGGCAGAGGCAACGCTGACATTCAGTGTGCATGGCAACAACACTCAATAGCAGACTAATCAACAAACAAAACGCAACCTCACAAGCGGGGCAACCACGTGGAAATCTACAGGGGAAAATATTAAATATATTCCCAAAATATTGCTCCCAATAATGAATATTAAAAATTAAATTTAAAAGGTTTTCAAAATGGGAACTTAATATGTTAATCTAGAGGATTTCTCTAATAGAAATAATATAATTAAATACATATAATTTAAGTTAATAAAAATAAAATTATTAAATATTTTTTAAAGGTCCAAAAAGTTATATTTTTCCCATTTAATAAACAAATATTTGGACAAGATTTAAATTATTTTTTTAGTTAAAATAATTCATTAATATTTCTTTCTATTCTATTCTTAATTTCCCAACACTCTCTTCATTATTCCAAGTGCAGCACGCACACATAGGCCTCAAAAAAAAGTACAAACACACACACACACAACCCCATTCAAAGGCGGCAAATGTATTGACCTTAACACTGAACGCCAACACACAGGCGGGTTTTCGTACTTGTATTGCAAAATAAGAACTTGAAATAGAATGAAATGAGCGGAAGATAGAAAGGCAGAGAGCAGAGTGCGATTAGAAGGAGAGCACAAGCAACGACGAGAGAGAAACAGAACGAGAGCACACACACGTGTGCATGTTCAAGTTCACCCACACCAAGGCAAGGCTAGCTAGCGCAGCAGCAACCTAACAGAGTGTCTACAGCTGAGCAAGCAGCGCACTGTTATCGCTCTGTAGATACTCTGCCGCCATGTACTGGTCTCCCCTCAGCTTTTTTGGGGTATCTGCATTTTTGCGGAGTTGCACGATAGCGGAGCGGGTGGGGGGCACTTGCAGGGGGTGTGGCTCCAGCTCTAATGAGGGTTGCAACTCCAGACGAAGTTACGGGCCAAGTGGAATGAGTCAGACAGCCGGGGGAATGGGGGCCAATAAAGGGCTGGGAGCTAGGTTTCGATTGTGATTTTAATAGTGATGATTATGAGTTTCAGCATCTAATTGAAGGCTTAGTTACAAGTCGATTCCGAGAGTGAAAGGTCAAGAGGGTTACCGTTTTTATCCTAAGACTTTGAAGGAAGATATACCGGAATTAGCCTCGTTTTATCTTTTTTTAATTCGGATTTTAGGCTTAGATATGAAGCTTCTATTGTGATTTTTGTATTTATTTTGGGTTTTGATTAAATTTTAAAACATAATCCGTATGCACTTCCACACTGTTTTATGAAGCTTTATATTATTTTATTTGCATTTTTTGTCAGAAATTTTAAAGCTAATTTTTAATGAATGTTAACTTTTTGAAATAGAACTTGGCACAACTTTTTGTTCAACATTTTCTTTTTAATGATTTTTTTTTAGGTTTTCACTCTTTTTCTTTAACATTTTCTAATTTTCACTTAAAAAGTGTGTAAAAAGTCCTTTTGGGTGCTCTATTTTAACCACTTTCAATGTTACTTTTATTATAACTACGAATTTGGTATTTATTTTAAATTATGTATTAGTTTTAAATTGAAAATTCTATTCATTTTTAGCACAACTTGTTTTTATTCATATGACCCACAAATAGTCAAGTTTCAGCTTAATTTTTCCTTTATATGTGTTTAATTTAACCTTAAACTTAGGTCAATCTTTTTTTCGAAAAATTATTTCATAACTCTAAAAATTCCAGATTGTTATCACTTGTCGGCAAAATTTTAAATTTTTTATCATTATTTTACGATCACTATCTCCTTATTTAATTAAATATTTAAATTGGCACTCAAAGCTCTCACAACACAGATATCGCACCGATTTCCAAGGCATTTCTATATAATTTTCACTTACAAAGAGTCCACTTAATCGCGTCGCGCATTCCACAGATACTTGCGATGCATCTGCATCCGAGGGATTACTCGTATTTCGACCGATCGAAGATTTACAATAAGATTTACATTAAGTTCACTAAGATTTCTTCTTTTTTTTTTTCTGAACAAACGAAAGTTAAGACGATTGCGCAGATTAAGACTAAGAAGAAGACGAAGAGCGCGACTGGGAGACGGAACGCGACGGTGCGTTCCACATGACGTCGTCAAAATGACTGAGTTCGACCAGACTCGTTCTGAGTTTCCACATTTTTCGCAAAAGTGAAAAATTCTACTTTCAATATGAAAACGAGCAGCGCTGTCGACTGCAGCGTCTACGCCGACTGCGCTGTCCGCACGGGAGTTGTGCATGGCAAAGCCAGAACCAAAAGAAGAAGAGGAAGAAGCAGCAGCACAAGCGATTGCAGAAAACGCAGCCCACTGTGGGTGTGGGTAAGGTAGGTCGTGGTATGGGAGAGAGCGCCAGCCCACAAAAAGAGAGAGCTCAGAACCTTGAGAGGAGAGCAAGTGAGTGCGATAGGGAGAGAGAGCGACCCGAGCGAGAGCTGAACATGCAGCGAATGCAGAAAACAAAGCGTAGCCCAGAGAAGTCAATGTACAAAGCCGATTGGGGGTGCAATGGACGTGTGGGCCGTGGAACTTAGACGCGGACATGGACGCCGTTACAGTGACAGCTATGGTGTGAGTATATTCTATGAAAAAATATAAATTATTTAATATCTAAAGGTACAAATTAATTTGTTAAAAGCTAGGCAGAATTAATTTTTAAAAGCTAGGCAAAGGGAAACCTGTTTAGCGCCAAAATGTAGGCAACGATTTTTTTACATCGAGCAGTTGCCTTACAGAACAAGGTTTTTTTTATGGTGGAAAGAATATTTCTAAAACAAATATAAAAAATTAAATACAATAATAATTAATATTTACACTTTTTATACAAAATCTGAGAAATTAAAATTTTACAGTAGCAGTAACAACATAGGATATTCCACTGTACTCTGTACTTTTGCAAAGCGAACATTCATTTTCCCAGGTCTGTTTCTGCGCTCATTCCCGTCTAGAGTTGTTTGCCCCTTTTTTTCAGTGCTTCCTTTTTGGGGTTGCAAAAAGTTTTTGGCATTCCGGGAGTTGTACGTAGCACAGAAATTAAAAATAATTGCAAAAAGACGCCGAGTGGGTGGATTTCTCCGCATCTCTGGCCCTCGTCTGTCTGTCTGCCTGGAGTTGCAACCCTTCGGGCAGTGCGAAATGAAAGCAAACTTCCAGACTCTTTCTCATTCGGGGGAAGGAGGAAGGAGCCGCTGACGGAAATGGAATAAGGGAACGAGTGGTTTCCTAGACACACACACTCGCTGGGCTACATTTTTGTTTGGTAAGGTCGGGCCGAGAGCCAGAGATACTTCCTCCACGAGCTTCGATTTTAGCCAACTCCATACGGGGGTTGCACTCTAATGGAGTTGGCTTCCTTTGTCTGCCATTCCGTTTGGGGTATGTTTTGCAGGCATAAGGCGCCTTGTAACCTTGATTCTTTTGCCATTTTTGCCAGAAGAAGCTTAAGCTTTCACAAACTTATTAGAACTGATTTGAAAAACACCCCATTATGTCTGTATGAGAAAGTTTATTACGTGATTTTTACAATGAAGTACTTGATTTTTTTAAAGTATTTCGAATTTTGTATTATTTTATCTGAAAAATATTAAAAAAAAAATCGAGTTTATTTAAAGAAAGTACGTTTTTCTTGAGCTCGTTCTAAATATTATATATTTTTTATTATTTTTATCATATTAAAAAACATTTTAAAGTTAAAATACAAAAAATCATAACAAAGTCACATATATTTTCATAAAATTACCCAGCTTAGACCCTTGTAGGGATATATTTACTCATTGTAAACAAATGAATCCCTGAATTAATATCATTTAACCTCGCCGAACCCTAGACGTTGCAGCCTCCCTCTCCATTGAGGCCATTGCATTGAGACGCCGCTGGCCCTGGCAGCAGCCAACTATATGGTTATGGTTCCTACATGCATATATAGCGGCCAAATATCATGGTCAATGACAGCGCCGTGAAATTTGCAACGTGGCGGCACGTGGCAGGGGCAACCAGACAACACCACTACCCTAGGTCCTGGGGGCAGGGAAGCCCTGAGCTCTCTCTTTCTCCCTCTATCTCTTGAAGTCTCTCTGCAAAGAGCGTAGGTGCAAAAGCGCATGTTTGGGAGCTGCAATGTTGCACATGCCACACGGCTGCACGAAGGTTAAAAGCATTTCAGGGGCACTACGACAACACCAGGAGAATTACAACTGCACTAGCCGGCGCAGACCAAGGACCAAGGGCAAGGACACGCAGGCATGCGCATTTCCGCATTCGCTAGTCGGGTCCTTGGCTCGGACACGGTCTCGCATTCGGATCCTTGGCTCAAAGTCCCTCATTGCCAAGGTCCCTAGACTGCGTGGGGGAGCAAGATAGTGGTGTGAAGTCTGGTTTTTAGTTGGGAAATTAATTAAATTAAATTAAATAAATATATATTATATTATAAGGATATTTATAAAGATTGAAGTAGTAAGTTTTAAATATTTACATAAGAGAAAATTCGTAAATTCTTTAAAATTATAAGAATATATATCTTTAATATATATTTTTGAATAATAAAAATTTTAAAATAATTACAGAAAGTAAATAAAATTATCCTTAAAATACAAACCAACTTGAAAACACTGTCCTGCGGATTCTGTTTAATGAAGCAGCCGCCAAAAACTCCTGCAAATGACATTGGAATATATATACAAACATATTTATATATGTTTATAATGGTTGACAGACATTGGTGGTGGGGGGGTCGTAGGTGAGAGCAGATTAATTTCAGGGATATTTTGCATTTCCTTGACAATTGCTTAACCAAAGTCGCCCCCCATGGCAGTGCAAGGATATATGGCACACACGTGTCACCCACGCTCACGCAAGCCCTGAAATTCGGCATTGCCTCGATGGCCATTGAAAAGGTCAGCCAGTGCACACACACAAGTCCTTGTCCAGATATGGATTAAGACATACCGAGGACATTATAAAACAGTACTTGGGTTTGGCAAATATATAAAAACAATCAAGCAATTATTTTAGTGCCAGACTAGACCAATCTGGAATAAGATATGCAAATGTGCACAAGCCCCACCTCCGCCTAATGACATATCAATTTTGAAAATAACCAAAAAGAGGGTTAGGACTTCGAACCAATTACTGGGTCAATTCTGGCCAGAAAGCCAAACTGGCCAAGCACAAAGTGTGCTATAAGTCAGTCGCCTCCGGAGAGAGTTCATTGAAACTAATTTTCATCGGGACAAGGACACTAACTGAGGGGTGTAGTAGGAGCTGTGGCATTTTCCTTTATTTATGGCAGTGGAGGAAAGCAGTCCCCGGTCAATGACTCAGTGGGTATATTTTCGGTTCCCTCTGGATTTGAGGCTGGCCAAAAGTTCAATCCACTTTTGTGCTCCTTATCGCTTATCCGGTTGGTACCTCTTAATTTGGAAATCAAAGTAGGTTAGGCTAAAGCTTTCTTAATTTTGAAATATATTTAGCCTAAAATATATTTAAACCTAATTAATTTAATTATTTTAGAAAATTTGTAAAGTTTGTCAAGAATAGTTAAAATAATAGTTAATCGAAAAAAGGTTAGCATAACAAAATTTTTGGTAAATTTTAACAATTTTTGAAAAATAAAAATTGTTTATAAATTAATTAATTGATTAAGGACTTAATTAAAATACCTTTAAACCTGAATATATATTAAGATTTGTTAAAAAATATCATTCCCAAAGTGAATTTATCAAAATTATATGAATATCACTGACTTGAGATGCATGTAATATAGATTTACTTTATCTCTCTCTCTCTTTCTTTGTTTTATTTAAAAGCTCTCTTAAACTCTTAAACTCTTTATCTCTTCCTCGCTCTGGATTCGCACATGGCACTGCAGTTTCTCAGTTGTCGTTAAGCTCTCGGGTAGCTCTCTTCGACGCACGCAACGAAAGATGGAACCGCAACGCACTTTGACCGACTTGCCTTTTGAGGTCCTCGATCTGATATACAAGGCTCTGGCTTTTAAGGATCGTTACGAATACTGGCGAGGGTATACCGTATATAGTTACTCAAAGGACAAGCTAAACTTGGCCGAAACTTGCGAATATCTGGGCCGGGCTTTTGCCTATCACAGTCGCCATGTGTACAAGAAGGCGATGTATGAGAATTCTTACCCATTTATATCCAAAAGAGACTATTCTTTAATTATATCACTTTGCGGCTCGACGGCAGAGGAGTATGTCGGCTCTCCGGGTTGCAATTGGAGCGCTGAGGTGGCCCAGGCGGTGGGCCAGTACTGTCCCAACTTGCAAAGGGTTCAATTTCAAGTGTACTTTGACAATGGCGAAGTTGTACTATCTATTTTACACAAGGCAAAGAACTCCATTAGAACTCTGAAATTTGGATACGAAACCGGTAGACCCTTGAGAATGGGTGCGCCTATAATGCATAAGATTCCAGATATGCCATTGCTGAGGAACTTGACCGTCGATCGTTGCTATAATGAAGAAGGTAAGAACAAAATAGTTAAACAAAAACAACAACCTTTTATCCTTGAATTTAAGCTAGCCCTAAATCATAGGCAACATCAATTCTTCTCTTTGAACAGCTTACGAGATACAAAGATTTCTGAACATAGAAGAGCTTTACTTGTGTTCAGTTTACACCCTTAGAGAAGATCCCAAGCCACTAAATCTGTTCAAGGTGTGTGCTCCCCTGAAGAAACTCCGCCTGCTGACGGTCGTATGCATAAATATTATTTCTGACACAGATGAGGACGAGGCAATTCCCGAATTTCCCGCTCTTGAACACTTTAAACTAAGCTCTTGTATGATTTCGATGGAATTTCCAAGCTGTCCCAAGCTCAAGATCCTTGATATAGGATACTCCAAGTGCCACATTGAAGGCCTGGTCTGTAGATCGGTTCTGAAACAGGGCAAAGATCTGGAAAGATTGATCGTTGAGAGTCGACCATCGCAGTTCGATAATGACAGTTTCCTGGAAGTGGTTCGAAGATTTCGAAAACTTCGACACTTCGATGTGCCGATTCGGAAAATTAAATTCGATTTGGGGTTTGTGACTGAAGTGGTGAATGTTCTAAAGGAAAATGGAGTAACTCAAGAAGATCCCTTGGAGCTGGAGTTGGATGAAGTTAGTAAAATACACTGGCTGAAACACTGGGTAAGATTAATGTATTTTTGGAAAGAGATATCTATGTCTTAGACTTGTTTTCCTTTGCAGCTGTCTAATATTTCAGATGCCAATTTAATAAAAACACGTGTTTATTAGAAAAACGAAATATAAAATTTTTTAATATTATTTAAATGTTTATTTTTTGGTGAGAAATGGTTTCGAATAAGTATAATATTTATTATTACAGGATATCCAGCATTTCAAACATTTTATGTTCGATTTTAGCCCTGTTTATCCTTTTAGATGGCAAAGGTGAATCATTGTTCCATAAACTGGCTACCTTAGCCCCCTAAAAATCAACCCACCAGATGAGTAAGCCTAGGGAATTGTTGAACCACCTCGCGGCGAGTGTCCTGCCTAAAGAGGTGTGTGTGTGCGTCTGTGTAATTTCGATGGCAACAAGTTCAAAGTTCGTGCCGGATTTGGGTCTGCCGGGGCATTAGTCATATCTCTGCAGCTGGCTGAGTTGTCACCTGGTGCGAATTGTTGGAATATTTACCCCCTGCACTATGGTCCAGAATCCGTTTTTTTTGGCATAAAGTCGATTTTTTTATGTTAATATATCGTTGTTTTCTTATTTTAATCTTAAAGTAAATTCATCATACGTTATAAAAATGTTAACTAAAAGCTTTAAATGTGCCACCAAAGCCTATTGAGAGCTTTTAAAAATGCGATTGCGATCAGCTCATTTCCGAATAGAAATTCGCGCCAAAATATTTAGTTACTTTATGTTGTGTCAGACGTGTTATTTTGGTTCAAAAAAATCAACTAAAATATGGAAAATAATCTTCAAGGTATGCACTATTTAATGTATATTGTAATTTTTTGTGTAGTTCTACGTATTTAGTGTTGTGTAATGTCAAATTTATGTGTATGTTGTTAGAAAACTATCATGCGTTCTCCATGTTTCGTGGAGTATAACTAATAAGCTTCTCCATGCTGACAGCAACTAATTGGTCCAGATTGTACTCCTGGATGTTGTCTTTAACCACAAACAAAAAACTCATCCCCGTTCGTCCCCCTTTTCTAATATTTTGGTAATATACATAGTTTATTCACAGCGAACTTTTTAAATTATGGAGCAGCAACAATCGAAAAATTCAATCTGTATCGAAGTGACTATGCACCAAAATTAATAAAGACACTGTGAAATACAAGAAAATGAAGGAAATAGATTAAAAATGCAGTAATTTTTATAGTGATATTCATAAATATCTTCCCAAATGTAAATACGATCTTGAACGGTTAATTTCTTCCAATAATTCTAATTATAAATTCGGAAAAATATCTCTCTTTTTTTAACAACTTTTTCATTATATATGCGTTAATTATGTATATAATAAATGGTAATTATGTACATATATAAAAATTATAAATTAAATATCAATCAGTTTGCAAGGGCGGCAAGAGTGGGCGTGGTCGTACTGGCCCAATTTTTTGTACACAAGTTGTTAATGCCACAACAATAAAATCTGCGAAGTTTAAACCCTGTAGCTCCATTTTTCGACTTTATGCCAAAAAAAACGGATTCTGGACCATAGTGCCCTGTGCTAGATTATAATATTAGCTTGGTTTAGACAGACAAATAATGCATATTGGCTTTTTCAGTTTTCGAGATTTTATTCATTTCAAAGTGATATATTTTTTGAAATTATTAAAATGAATGAATAAAAAAAATAATAATTTTTAATTTGTTATTAGGTTATTAAACAATATTTAATATATTAAATATTTTGATTATATTATTCTTTGATAATAGTTAAGCAACAAAAAGTAATAATTCATCTTAGGGAAAGTCATTGTTTAACCTAGTTGGCCAGTATCGAAAGTATTCAGGCTTTATTAACTCGGGACTCGATGAATTTTTGAGCTGTAATAAATATTTAATCAACATTTAAATCTATGGAATTAAGTCTTAACTTACCCATTTTACTAATTTTGTATACCGGGGACGATCCCTTGCCATAATTACCAAAGGATTATCCGGTGTAAACCCGTTATGCCTCAGGATATCAACGATTTCCTCAACAAACTCAAGGTCGAAGACGACACCTCCGCTTGGCAGCTCGAAGAATCGCAGGTTTCGGCACGTTCGAATAACCTCTAGAAAATCTTCATGTCTATATGGTTCTCGTGGACAGTCATGGCTTAAGCTTTCCAGGCTCTTTCCTTGGCTCAAAATGAATCGTTGAACTTCAGCGTGACTGTTATGTTCCTCACACGCAATGTTTAGCTTCTTCAATTGTATTACTGGCAGGTGGATTTTAGTTTCTTCAGAGGCAATAATTCTGACGCCCTTCAAGGCCAGAATCTGCAGTTTCTTTAAAGGTGCACAGAGTGCCAAAATATCAATAACAACTGGCTTGGAATTCTTGTATCTAATTGCAAGTTTTACCAAATTTTCGAATTTCTGTATGTGATAAACTATGTGATAAAGAAATAAAAATATGCGATATTTATATATATATTTATATTTTTCTTACAGTTCTCAATGGGAATGTTGAAAATCTTAAGCTCTTCCAGCAAGGGCAATTCTGGAAGTTCGTGAAGGATCTTAGTATTCATTTCTGGAGATTTTAATTTTAACTTCAGTCTAAGATTAATAGCCTTTAGAGAATTCTGTCTCTGGCATATTAAAGATTTCACACAATTCACACTGTCCGTCTCGAAGATGAGCTTAATTTTTTCCAATTTTGAGCAGTGTAAGGCAATCAAATTGACGAGCTCTACTGCATCATGATCATTCTCCCGAATAACTCTGTCAATCTTTTTTATATTCGGTCCACAGCCTGGAAGAGTCAGCCGCCAAAAGCATAAACTTTTTTTTTCATAGACTGGGATGTGTTTGAATAAATTCCGACAATGATAGACAAAGGCCTGGGCCAAATATGGATGAGCTTGGGCCAAATAGAGTTTGTTCGTCATATTTCCACAACATTCAAATAGAATATCGAGTATTTCTATCGGCAAATCCGTAATATTTCTTGAACACTTCATTTCAAACACCGAACTTTTCCTCAATGTGTCACTTCAGAGCTGGCGAACAAAGAACTGATGTGGTCAGGACTTACTCGGAACACAACAGTCTCTGTAGATAAAAGAGAGAGAGAAGCAAAGGGAAATTAAACTAGCCGAAAAGTTAATACCCTTTCTAACTTAACAAGATTAATTGTTTTGAAAATTAATATAAATAATTAAGTAATTCTATAATTTTATTAAACAGCAAACTATTCGTTTTTGCTATGTTAATTAACATACATATTCATCATTTAATATCGATGAGGGTTAATACATTTTTTATAAATATTAATTCGACAGCTTAAGATTTTTTACGAGATTATATTATATTATATAAGAGAGGAAACGAGAGACTCGCGAAAAAAAATCGCTGAAATTAAGAACAAATAATAGGAAGTTGAGAAAGCTGATAAGATTTTATATTATAATACTTAAAGTTGGGCTTCATAAAATAAAAATAAATAAAATCAAATAAGAAAAGGTAATTGACTATAATGATGAATCACTCACCCAGTACCGCAGCAATGTAAACTTGCAATAACCGAGTACGTATAATCTTTTCGAATAATCTATTTTTATATTAATTATAATATGTTTAATAAGACTTTAGTTCAGGCTTGGAAGATTGTTTTCTTTTTTTAAACCCATTGAAATAGTATCCTCAATGGGAATTTTAAAGCAAGGACAATTTCGGGAATTACTTTACCAATTTAGCCTGGAATTTGTAATCTGAAATTCGATATGGGGTTTGTGACTGAACTGGTGAATTTTTTTGAGGGAAAATGGGATAACTCAAGAAGATCCTTTGGAGCTGGTGTTGGATGAAGTTAGTAAAATTCACTGGCTGCATCACTGGGTAAGCTTAATATATGTTTTTAAAATGTGATCTGTATAAAACTCTGACTTGTTTTCCTTTGTAGCTGTCTTATATTTCAGATGCCAATTTAACAAAAAAAACGTGTTTATTGAAAAAATCTAAATATAAAAAGTTTTAATATTATTTATAAGTTGTTTTGGGGAAGGAATGGTTTGTATATTTATATTTTTTAAGTAACACAAAAAAAGTATAGTATTTTTTATATAAGGAGGAACGTATTAAGGTATTTTTTTAATATAGTACTAGGGATTTCTCATTTGTATAATAATAAACCGTTCTCTCAATGACTCGTTGGGCATATTATCAGTTTCATTTGTATTTGATTCTGGTGAAACGTTCAATCCACTTGGAATGACTTCAGCTGCATGTAATATAGATTTACTTCATCTCTCTCTCATTTTGTTTTATTTAAAAGCTCACTTAAAAACTCTTAAACTCTTTATCTCTTCCTCGCTCTGGATTCGCACATGGCACTGCAGTTTCTCAGTTGTCGCCCAGCCCTCGGCCGGCTCTCTTCGACGCACGCAACGAAAGATGGAACCGCAGCGCACTTTGACCGACTTGCCTTTTGAGGTCCTTGATCTGATATACAAGGCTCTGGCTTTTAAGCCCCGTTACGAATACTGGCCAGAGTATACCGTCTATTGTTACTCAAAGGACAAGTTAAACTTGGCCGAAACCTGTGAATATCTGGGCCGGGCTTTTGCCCATCACAGTCGCAAAGTGTACAAGAAGGTGATGTATGACAGTTGTTATACTAATATACCTAAAAGGGAATATTCTGTTATTGTCTCACTTTGCGGCTTGACGGCAGTGGAGTATGTCGGCTCTCCGGGTTGCCATTGGAGCGTTGAGGTGGCCAAGGCGGTGGGCCAGTACTGTCCCAACTTGCAAAGGGTTCAATTTCAAGTGTACTTTGACAATGGCGAAGTTGTACTATCTATTTTACACAAGGCAAAGAACTCCATTAGAACTTTGAAATTTGGATACGATTCCAGTAGACCCTCGAGAATGGGTGCGCCTATAATGCATAAGATGCCAGATATGCCATTTCTAAGGAACTTGACCATCGATCGTTGCTATAATGAAGAAGGTAAGAATGAAACACTTTTTAAAAAACAACCTTTTATCCTTGAATTTAAGCTAGCCCTAAATCATAGGCAACATCAATTCCTCTCTTTGAACAGCTTACGAGATACAAAGATTTCTGAACATAGAAGAGCTTTACTTGTGTTCAGTTTACACCCTTAGAGAAGATCCCAAGCCACTAAATCTGTTCAAGGTGTGTGCTCCCCTGAAGAAACTCCGCCTGCTGACGGTCGTATGCATAAATATTATTTCTGACACAGATGAGGACGAGGCAATTCCCGAATTTCCCGCTCTTGAACACTTTAAACTGAGCTCTTGTATAATATCGATGGAATTTCCAAGCTGTCCCAAGCTCAAGATCCTTGATATATCATGCACTAAGTGCCACATTGAAGGCCTGGTCTGTAGATCGGTTCTAAAACAGGGCAAAGATCTGGAAAGATTGATTGTTAACAGTCGACCAGCCCAATTTGATAATGACAGTTTCCTGGAAGTGGTTCGAAAATTTCGAAAACTTCGTCACTTCGATGTGCCGATTCGAAAAATAAAATTCGATATGGGGTTTGTGACTGAACTGGTTAATGTTTTAAGGGAAAATGGAGTAACTCAAGAAGATCCTTTGGAGCTGGAGTTGGATGAAGTTAGTAAAATACACTGGCTGCATCACTGGGTAAGATTAATGTATTTTTGGAAAGAGATATCTATGTCTTAGACTTGTTTTCCTTTGCAGCTGTCTAATATTTCTGATGCCAATTTAATAAAAACACGTGTTTATTAGAAAAACGAAATATAAAATTTTTTAATATTATTTAAATGTTTATTTTTTGGTGAGGAATGGTTTAGAGTAAGTATAATATTTATTAATACAGGATATCCAACATTTCAAACATTCTTTGTTGGATTTCTCTTAGCCCTGCTTATCCTGTTAGATGGCAAAAGTTAATCGTTGTTCCATAAACTGGCTACCTTAGCCCCCTAAAAATCAACCCACCAGATGAGTAAGCCTAGGGAATTTGTTGAACCTCCTCGAAGCGAGTGTCCTGGCTGAAGAGGTGTATGTGTCTGTGTAATTTCGATGGCGTGTGCGTGCTAGTGTGAAATATTAGTTTGGTTTAGGCAGACAATGAATGCTTATTGATTTATTCAGTTTTAGAGATTTTATTAATTTCAAAGTGATATATTTTTGGAAAATGTTTAAATGAAAGAATAAAACTTTCATAAAAACTTTTAAAGTAATAGTAACTTTTACTTTGTTTTTAGGTTATTAAAGAATATTTAAAATATTAAATATTTTGATTATATTATTCTTTGACAAAAAAGCAACAAAAAGTAATAATTCATCTTAAGAAAAGATGAAAGAGTTCAGGCTTAATTATATCGGGACGGAAAGCAGTCAGGCTTTATTAACTTGGGACTCGTTGAACATTTGAGCTGTAATAAATATTTAATCAACATTTAAATCTATGAAATTAAGTTTAGCTTACCCATTTTTCTAATTCTGTATATCTGTGATAATTGCTTGCCCCAAGTAAAAAAGGATTATCCTGTGTGACCCCGTTTTGCCTTAGGATATCAACGATTTCCTCAACAAACTCTAGGTCGAAGACGACACCTCGGCTTGGCAGCTCGAAGAATCGCAGGTTTCGGCACGTTCGAATAACCTCTAGAAAATCTTCATTTCTATATGTTACTAGTTCACAATCGTAGAGTAAGCTTTCCAGGCTCTTTCCTTGGCTCAAAATCAATCGTTGAACTTCAGCGTGACTGTTAAATTGCGCACAAATAATGCTTAGCTTCTTCAATTGTAATACTGGCAGGTGGATTTTAGTTTCTTCAGAGGCAATAATTCTCACGCCCTGCAAGGCCAGAATCTGCAGTTTCTTTAGAGGTGCACAGAGTGCAAAAACATCAATAACATGTTTCGTTAAACTCCAGCACCGAATTTCAAGCTTTACCAAATTTTTAAATTTGTGTATGTGATAATCTAAGTGGAAAAGAAATAAAAATATGCGATATTTTTATACATATTTATATTTTTCTTACAGTTCTCAATGGGAATGTTCAAAATCTTAAGCTTTTCCAGCAAGGGCAATTCTGGAAGCTCATGAAGCATCTTAATATTCATTTCTGGAGATTTTGATTTTAACTTCAGTGTAAGATTAATAGCCCTCAGAGTATTCTGTCTCTGGCATATTAAAGATTTCACACAATCCACATTGTCCGTCTCGAAGACGAGCTTAACTTTTTCCAATTTTGAGCAGTGTAATGCAACCAAGTTGATAAACCCCTCATCAGAACTATGTCGAAAATTTTTTTTAATTTTTTTTATATTCGGTCCACAGCCTGGCAGAGTAAGCCGCCAATAGCACAATCTTTTTTTTTCATTTTCTGAGATGTGGTTGTATAAATTCCGACAATGATAGGCAAAGGCCTGGGCCAAAAACGGATGAGCTTGGGCCAAATGGAGTTTGTCCGTCATATCTCCACAACATTTAAATATAATATCGAGTATTTCTATTGGCAAATCCGTAATATTTGTTTTACACTCCATTTCAAACACCGAACTTTTCCTCAATGTGTCACTTCACAGCTGGCGAACAAAGAACTGATGTGGTCACGACTTTCTCGGAACACAAAAGTCTCTGTAGATAAAAGAGAGAGACAGAGAGGGTAATTAAACTAGCCGAAGAGTTAATACCCTAAAAGTTTTGAAAATAAATATTTTTTGTTAAGTGACAAAGGAATAAGCATAATAATATTTGTTATTATAGGATATCTAACGGATTAAGGTATTTTTTTAATATAAGACAAGGGGTTTCTGATTATTATAATAATAAACATTTCTCTCAATGGCTCGTTGGGCATATAATCAGTTTCTTTTAGATTTGATTTAGGTGGCCAATTCGCTTGGTACTTCCAGATTCTAAAATCAATGAGGCAAAGGCCTAGGCTTTCTTGATTTAAAAAATTTTGTATCAAAATTATTTCAGTAATTACAAATTATTTATATATGAACTTAATTAATTTAATTATTTTACAAATTTGTAAAAAGTTTGTCAAGAATAGTTGTGCTAAGGAAATAATAGTTAATCTAAAATAGGTTATTTAACACAACAAATTTTTTTATAAATTTTAAAAATCATAGAAAAAAAATGGTGTTTAGATTAATTAATTGATTAAAGTCTTCATTAAAATACCTTTAAACCTGAATATATTTTGATATTTTGTATGAAATATTATTGCCAAAAAGAATTAATCAAAAATCAATTGAATTAATTGACTTGAGCTGCATGAAATATGAATTTACTTCATCTTTCTCTCTCTCTTTGTTTTATTTAAAAGCTCTCTTAAACTCTTAAACTCTTAAGCTCTTTATCTCTTTCTCGCTTTGGATTCGCACATTGCACTGCAGTTTCTCAGTTGTCGTTAAGCTCTCGGCCGGCTCTCTTCGACGCACGCAACGAAAGATGGAACCGCAAAGGACTTTGACCGACTTACCCTTCGAGGTCCTCGATCTGATATTCAAGGCTCTGGCCTATAAGGACCTTCGCGGCCGCTGGCCACCGTATACCGTCTACCATTACTCAAAGGACAAGCTAAGCTTGGCCGAAACCTGCGAATATCTGGGCCAGGCTTTTGCCTATCACAGTCGCGATATTTACAAGAAGGCTATATATGACCGTTCATCCCCGTATATATCCGAAAGAGACTATTCGGTAATTGTCTCTCTTTGCGGCTCGACGGCAGTGGAGTATGTCGGATCTCCGGGTTGCAATTGGAGCGCTGAGGTGGCCAAGGCAGTGGGCCAGTATTGTCCCAACTTGCAAAGGGTTCGATTTCAAGTGTACTTGGACAATGGCGACATCCTAATATCTCTGATACACAAGGCAAAGAATGCCATCAAAAGCCTGGACTTTGGATATGCCAGCCACGACCCCCTAAGAATAGGTTCGAATATAATGCACAAAATACCAGAGCTGCCGCTGCTAAAAACCTTAACCTTAGATAGTTTTCGAGTTGACGAAGGTAAAAAGTACTTTTAAAATTATTTTTTTAATTTAACAATCTTTTGTCCTTAAAGTTAAAGGAGTGTTTTAATTTATCCTAAATCTTAAAATATTAAGAAACTTCAATACTTCTTTTTTGTGCAGCTTATGAGATACAAAGATTTTTGAGCATAGAAGAGCTCTTCTTGCAGTCACATTATTCCCATATAGAAGATCTCAAGACATTAAATCTGTTTAAGGTGTGTGCTCCCCTGAAGAAACTCCGAATACTGACGGTGATTGGGGTACACATCATTTCTGAGACAGATGAGGACGAGGCAATTCCAGAATTTCCCGCATTGGAACACTTTAAACTGAGCTCTTGTATAATATCGATGGAATTTCCAAGCTGTCCCAAGCTCAAGATCCTTGATATATCATGCACTAAGTGCCACATTGAAGGCCTGGTCTGCAAATCGGTTCTTAAACAGGGCAAAGATCTGGAAAGATTGATCGTTGAGAGTCGACCATCGCAATTTGATAATGAAAGTCTTTTGGAAGTGATACAAAAATTTCGTAAACTTCGATACTTTAATGTACCGATTCGGAAAATTAAATTTGATTTGCTCTATGCGACTGAACTGGTGAATGTTTTAAGGGAAAATGGAGTAACTAAAGAAGATCCTTTGGAGCTGGTGTTAGATGAAGTTAGCAAAATACATTGGCTGCATCACTGGGTAAGATTAATATATATTTTTGGAAATATATATTTATGACTCTGACTTGTTTTTCCTTTGCAGCTGTCGTATATATCTGGTTCCAACATAATAAAAGCACGTGTTTATTAGAAAAATTCAAATATAAAATGTTTAAATATTACTTAAAAGTTTATTTTTGGGTGAGGAATGGTTTTGAATAAATATAATATTTATTAATTCAGGATATCCAGCATTAATAACTTTTAATTTGTTTTTAGGTTATTAAACAATATTTAAAATATTACATATTTTGATTATATTATTCTTTGACAATAGTTAAGCAACAAGAAATAATAATTCATCTTAAGGAATGTCTTTGTTTAACTAGTTGTCCAGTAAAGAAAGTATACAGGGTATTATTAACTCGGGACTCGATGAACATTTGAGCTGTAATAAATATTTAATCAACATTTAAATCTATGGAATTAAGTCTTAACTTACCAATTCTACTACTTCTTCATATCTGTCGAATAAATCTAATGGCACAAGTAGGAAAGGATTATCCTCTGTGACCCCGTTTTGCCTCAGGATAACAAGGATTTCCTCAACACACTCAAGGTCGAAGATGAAGTCTTGCACTGGCAGCATACAGATTCTCAAGCTTCGGCATATTCGAATAACCTCTAGAAAATCTTCATTACTATATGATACTAGTTCACAATCGTAGCGTAAGCTTTCCAGGCTCTTTCCTTGGCTCAAAATGAATCGTTGAACTTCAGCGTGACTGTTATGTTGCTCACACGTAATGCTTAGCTTCTTCAATTGTAATACTGGCAGGTGGATTTTAGTTTGTTCAGAGGCAATAATTCTCACGCCCCTCAAGAACAGAATCTGCAGTTTCTTTAGAGGTGCACAGAGTGCAAAAACATCAATAACATGTTTCGTTAAACCCCAGCATCCAATTTCAAGTTTTACCAAATTTTTAAATTTCTGTATGTGATCATCTATGTGGAAAAGCAATTAAAATATTCTATATTTACATATATATTTATATTTTTCTTACAGTTCTCAATGGGAATGTTGGTAATTTTAAGCTCTTCCAGCAAGGGCAATTCTGGAAATTCATGAAGCATCTTAGTATTCAATTCTCGAGATTCTGATCTTAACATCAGTATAAGCCTAATAGCCTTTAGAGAATTCTGTCTCTGGCATATTAAAGATTTCACACAATCCACACTGTCCGTTTCGAAGCTGAGCTTAATTTTTTCCAATTTTGAGCAGTGTAGTGCAACCAAGTTGACAAGCTCCTCATCAGAACTATCTCGAATATTTTTGTGAATTGTTTTTATATTTGATCCACAGACTGGCAAAATAAACCGCCAAGAGCTCAAACTTATTTCTTTATCGTTTGAGATGCATTCGAACAAATTCCGACAATGATAGGCAAAGGCTTCTACCAAATACGGATGGGTTTGGGCCAAGTGGAGTTTGTTCGTCATATCTCCACAATATTTAAATAGAAGATCGAGAATTTCAACCGGCAAATTTGTTATATTTCTTGAACACTCCATTTCAATCACTGAACTTTTTCTCAATGTATCACTCGAGAGCTGGCAAACTGAGAACTGATGGACTGGTCATGACTTACTCGAAACACAAAAGTCTACTTAGATTAGAAAGAGTGTCTTTTGAAATGAGAGAGGCAGAAGGTAAATTAAGCAAGCCGACGAGGTAATACTCTTGCTTTCCTTAAATAATAGAACTTAAATTGAAAATATTAGATAAGTTTTCGATTTTGTGATACTGCAAACTACAAGTATCTGTTTTTGTTAATTAATATGCAATATTCTTCATTTGATATTGGAGACGAAAATGTTGTTGATTTTAACAAAAACTTAAAATGAATTATTTACAAACATTGATCCTACAGCCAAAGGCTTTTAGTAGTGTATGTTAAGAGAGGAATCGAGAGATAGGCGTTGAACATACAATTCTCTGGAATTAAGCAAAAAAAAAAAGGCAAGTAAAAAAAGCTGATAAGAAATAATTAATAATAATAATAAAATGAATATAAATTCAAATAAGAAATGCAACTGGGCACTTATTTTATTTCATGTTTTACATAATAATTTATTTATCTTATTATTATTACTGCAAAACGTACTGCATTACTTCTGTAATTATAAATACTCAACCTTTATTAATTCGGGATGTGATATAAATTTTAGCTGTAAAAATAAATATTAAATTAAAAATTATATATATTCTATTAGAGTATAACATACCCAGCGTAGTAGATGCTTATACTTTCTGTTATATTGGTTTACCTTGAGCACGAAAGGATTTTTCGGTGTAACCCCGTTTCCCCGCAGGATATCAACGATTTGCCTGACAAATTCAAGGTCTATCTTGACATTTAGGACAGGTAGGTAAAGGTATCGCAATTTTGGGAATGATTGAATAATATCTATAAATATTTCATTATTAAGGAAGCGTTCAAAGCTAAGGCTTTCCAGACTTCTTTCTTGGCTGAAAATTAATTGTTCCAAAGCTCCAACATTTTTTTCCACATTGTCCATTAAATCTATGGTTTTGAGTTTGAAGCACGCTGGAAATTCTATCAATATTTCACAACCCGAAAGGAGTAGCTCCTCCAAAGGTATAACTGACAGATGGACTTCATTTTGTTCGGTGGCGATAATCCTTACGTCTCTCAAATGCATTATTCGCAGTTTTTTTAGCGGTGCACAGAGTACCAAAATATCAATATCAATTCCAATATCAGAGCATCCAATTTGAAGTTCCACTAAATTTTCAAATTTCCGTATGTGATAATCTATGTACGAGGGAAATAAAGAAAGTAACACAAATATAAATGAATATATATCCCAATTTAGTACATTATAATTTTTCTTAGGACTTACAGTTATCAACGGGAATGTTGAAAATACAAAGCCTCTCCAATAAGGGAAGTTCAGGAAACTCGTGAAGCATCTTAGAATTCATTTTATTTAAGAGTACTTTTAGTTCAATATCTCTAAGAGTGCTTTGTACCTGGCATATTAAAGATTTCACCCAGGATATATCGTCCATAACGAAAAAGAGCTTAATTTTCTCCAATTTTGTACAGTGTAGTGAAATCAAGTCTGAAAGCTCTGCGTGATCATCAATATTGTTTGCAATACATCTGACAATTCCTTTTATATACGATCCGCAGACTGGCAGAATAGTCCGCCAAAAGCTCAAGCTTATTTCTGCATTGAAATATAAATATTCGATCGAATTCCGACAATGATAGACAAACCCCTGGACTAAATACGGATGTGTTACGGCCAAGTAGACTTTGTTCGTGCTATCTCCACAATATCCAAATAGAAGATCAAGTATTTCTAATGGCAAATCCGTTATATTTCTTTTACTCTCCATTTCAATAACCGAACTTTTCCTCAACGTTTCACTTGTGAACTGTGCGAAATGAGAACTGAATTGCATTCCTCGGCATCTAATATTTCATATACATATACTCACAACAGAGACTGCTATATACTCTTACATAATAAAGAGAGAAATAGAGAGACTGGAAATTAAACTAACCTCAATGAACCGACCAGTGAATACCCTTGAAAAATTCATGAATAAATAAAAATACATTTTGAAAAACTAAAAATATAAATCGAAAACTTTAGATTTTATAAAACAGCAAACTATAAGATTTTGCTTAGGTTTATTAAAAAGCAATATTCTATAGGAGATGATCATTTATTTTTTAAATTTCTTATAAATGTAATTATTTACAAACATCAAAAGCTAAATAACTTTTTCAAGGGTATGTATATAGAGAGAGGAAATATGTGTTATTGGCGTCTTATCTGATATTGACGTATTATTCCATAAAATAAACAGAAAGCTGTCATATATAATTATTAGTTATAATTTTTCAAATAAAAATTGTATGAATAAACCGTAAATTTATAATAATTATAATTAAATTTTAACAAAGTATATTTAAAGTAATAAATATTCATATTAAAGCACTTATTAAAAATTTCTCTTAAGGGAAGCCAATGTTAAACTTAATTTAAACAATCTTCATCCGTTTCGTTTATTAATATGAGCCCTATTATTTCGGGGCATGGCGTAAATTTGAGCTGTAATAAATATTACATTAAAAATGAGTTCACACAATTAATGTGTAACATACCCATTTCAGTACATCCTCGTAATTGAAATATCTGTCTACCTCAAGTACCAAAGGATTATTCGGTGTAACCTCGTTTTCAATCAGGATATCAACGCATTCCTTAACAAAGTCAAGGTTGAAGGAGACACTATAGTATGGCGGCCGAAAGGATCGCAGGTTGTGGCATACTCGAATAACCTCTAGAAATCGTTCATTATAACCCGGATAATAGTCACAGATATGGTACAAGCTTTCCAGGCTACTTCCTTGGCTCAAAATGAATCTGTGAACTACTGCGTTGGACATTTTTTCCTTAATGATAAAGGTTTTGAGATTAAAGCACACAGGAAGCTCATAAACTATGACACATCTTATAAGGCTTAGCTTCTCCATTGGTAATACCGTCATGTGGACATTATTTTTCTCAGAGCTGATAATGGTTACGTCTCTCAAAGTTAATATTCGCAGTTTCTTTAGAGGTGCACAGAGGGCCAAAATATCAATAGCAATATGTATTCGACCCTCACAGTCAAACATTGGATAATCACATCCAATATTAAGTTTAACCAAATTTTCAAATTTCTTTAGGTGATAATCTATGTTGAAAAAAAAAATAAAAATATGTGACATTTATATATATATTTATATTTTTCTTACAGTTCTCAATGGGAATGTTGACAATCTTAAGCTCTTCCAGCAAGGGCAATTCTGGAAATTCATGAAGCATCACAGTATTAATTTCTGGAGATTCTGATGTTAGTCTAAGATTAATAGCCCTCAGAGAATTCTGTCTCTGGCATATTAAAGATTTCACACAGGCCACACTGTCCGTTTCGAAGGTGAGCTTAATTTTTTCCAATTTTGAGCAGTGTAGTGCAATCAAATTGACAAGCTCTACTTCATCATGATCATTCTCCCGAATAACTCTGTCAATCTTTTTTATATTCGGTCCACAGCCTGGCAGAGTCAGCCGCCAATAGCACAAACTTTTTTTTTCATCTTCTGAGATGTGGTTGTATAAATTTCGACAATGATAGGCAAAGGCCTGGGCCAAATACGGATGAGCTTGGGCCAAATGGAGTTTGTTCGTCATATCTCCACAACATTCAAATAGAATATCGAGTATTTCTATTGGCAAGTCCGTAATATTTCTTTTACAATCCATTTCAATCACCGAACTTTTCCTCAATGTGTCACTTGTGAGCTGGCGAAATGAGAACTGATGTGGTCATGACTTACTCGAAACACAAAAGTCTTTTTAAATTAGAGAGAGTTTCTTTTAAATTAAGCAAGCCGACGAGGCAATACACTTGCTTGCCTTCAATAATAAAACTAAAATTAAATTGAAAATATTAGATAAGTTTTCGATTTTATGATACTGCAAACTACAAGTTTCTGTTTATGTTAATTAATATGCAATATTCTTCATTTGATATCGGGGACGAAAATGTTATTGTTTTAAAAAAAAAACGTAAATTTAATTATTTACAAACATTGATCCTACAACTAAAGAGCTTTTAGTAGTGTATGTTAAGAGAGGAAACGATATATAGGCACTGGACATACAATTCTCTGGAATTAAGCAAAAACAAAAATGGCAAGTAAAAAAAAGCTGATAAGATATAATAATAGAATACTACAAATTGGGCTTTTTAAAATAAACATAAATTCAAATAAGAAATGCAACTCGGCATTAATTTTATTTCATGTTTTAAATATTTAATATTATTACTTCAGTCTTTTTTGGAATAAAATATTCAACCTTTATTAATTCGGGATGTGATATAAATTAAAGCTGTAAAAACAAAAATTTTGTTATAAACTGGCTATATACTTAAATATAATGAAGAGATAGAGAGTCATAGAGAGAATGGAAATTAAACTAACCGCAATGAACCGACTAGTGAACTCCCTTGAAAAATTAGTGAATAAATAAAAATAATATAAATTGTAAACGTTCGATTTTATAAAACAGCAAACTATAAGATTTTGCTTAGGTTTATTAAAAATCAATATTCTATAGAGATGATCATTTATTTCTTAAATTTCTCATAAATAGAATTATTTACAAACATCAATTCCACAGCTAAATAACTTTTTCAAGGGTATATAAAGAGAGAAAATCTTTTTATGGCGTCAACTACATTATTTTATCAAATAAATAGAAAGCTGATAACAAAAATAAATAGAACCTTTTATATACTAAAGCTTGGGCTTTTTAAGTAAATAAATTCAAATAAAAGTCGTTATCTGCTTTTGAGTTTCTTGTTTAAAATATGTATTTATTTATCTTATTTTATATTACATTTTCAAGTCGAAGCCTAATCAATTCCGAATTTGCTGTTAGACTGAGCTGTAAATAAATAAAAAGCCAAGTTTAGAAAACCCCTTTTTGCCCTCGACTAACCTTACTCACCCAATGTCGCAGCCATTTGAACTTAAAATACTGGTCTAGCACCAGTTCCAAAGGATCATTAGGTTGGAGACCGTTTTCTTTCAATATATCCACAATTTCACGCACAAAATCTAGAGTAAACTTTACCTTTCGAATGGCAAGTTTCAGGTATATTAATTTCCTACAGCCTTGGATTAACTCAAGAAACCCCTGGTTATCATATGGCGTGTAGTGGCGAAAGAAGACTAGTCTTTCCAAAGATTCTCCCTGATTTAAGATCGATTTTCGAACTGAACCCTCACTGTCGTATATCCAATTTTCTTTGAGTGTAAATGATTTCAACTTGGGACAAGTTGGAAAGTCCATGGCAATGTCGCAATACGCTAATTTCAGCTCTTCCAGGGCCATCAAGGGAGACTTCAAGTCGGTGTCCTCGGAGGCTATACTAACAGCAACTACACTGAGAGAACGTAATTTATTTAGGGGTGCACAAATGGAAAAATATTAATAGTGGGAAAATATTGAAGGCGCAGAGGGATTTTCGGGTCGAATTGTCTAAAAACTTCAAATTCAAGCTCCTCTAAGTTAATAAATTTCTGTAAATGCAAAACTGAGAAACAATAAAAACTATATTAGAAATTGTTATTAAGAAAATAAAGAGCAATATTAAATTAATAAATATTATTAATATAAAATTAAAAATGTAGTCTTATACATTCAATTACAAATAAGGATTTTTGTTTATTTTAAAATTCAAGTTGAGACTTGAAAATATATTTTTATTAAACCCACAGACCTACCATCTTCAATGTGAATATTCCTTAGTTTAAGTACTCTTAGTAGGGACATTTCCGGCATATCCTTAACCAATTTTGGTAGAATTTTCTGATCTCTGGCATACCACAAGTAGACAGACCTCAGATTATCTTTCATCTACCAAATAAATGACATCACAGAGTCCACACTTTCCATGCAAATTCTCAATTTAATCCTTTGCAAATTGGAGCAATGCAAAGCCACCAAATCTCTCAACTCATGATCGTTGGAAATGTGTATATATTCAGAGAGCTCATTCACATTCCAACCACAGAGCGGCAGTATAATGCGCCAGCTTTCCAACCGTATGGGACTGAGTGCTGGTATTATCTTGAAGTCATTCCGACTGTGGTAGACAAAGGCTTGGCCTAAACACCGATTGGTCTGGGCCAAGTTCACTTTATCGGCTAAAACTTGGCAGTATTTATATATGAGATCGAGCACTTCCAGCGGTAGGCTCTCCATCGTAGTACTCTTCGGCGGAGAGTGCAATGCAAACTGAGGCGGAAAAGCTTTTGCTTCGACCGAAGCTCACAGAAATTAAGAGACACAAAAAAAGAAAGAGAGAAGAGTGAGGTAAGACGAAATCTTTCTTCGCTCTTAGGCTTAAGTGCTGTTGCACCGAAGATTTCATCATAATTCTTGGTGATTTCCAAGACAAACAAATATGCCAAACATATTCGCTTTATTTAAAAAATAAATATATTTATTAATTAATTGAACCTGTAAGAAATCGGAGTATTTATTTTTTACTGCAGCCTTATTAATTACAGTTTTTTTTTGCTGATGACTGCATTTTATGGCCACTTACTTGGCCAAAAACATCAAGCAAAGTAATGTAGATTACCGTTATTATGCCCCTGTTGTGCAGCCACCCCTTGTGACAACACCCACACCTTAGAGCCAGCGACAAAAAAATTGCAAACAAACAACCCACCATGTCTGAGTCCAGACAATTTGGCCTTCTTTCCCAAACCAAAAACTTCGCTAATTTGTAATGTTACACAGGCAAACAGTAAACTGCAGCGGGTTAAGGGAGGAGTACAGGGTTAAGGGATCACAAAAACAAATTTTGGAATATTTTTGTTTTAATAAAAAACCATTAATATTAAGTTTAATATTAATATTAGTTTAAATACTCTTAAATTAAGTTAAAAACAAAAGAATAAACACAATTTTTTATATAAAACTTTCAAGTTTATACTATTTTCTTCATGTGTACAGTTTTGCTGACACTTTTGATGCCCGTTGCGTGATAAGGACGGACCAGATGAGACGGTGACGCAATGCGGTGCAGCATGGAGGTCAATAAACCATGCTGAATGTTTGTAGGATCGGCGTTAAATTGCACAAAAAAAGGGTTGAAAAGCTTGCACAAGGGATAGCACTTGAGTTTTTGAGCACAAAAGCAGACACATGGAAAGCGTCAGCAACAAAGGGGAGGTGGGAAATTTACAAATGCAATAAATAAAAATAAAACAAAATTATTTTAAACAAAATACTGGCATATATTTTATTTTTTTTATATAGAAAAAAAAGCAGCTATTGGAAAAGTAAGTAAAGTAAAAATATAAAAAAAGAAATATATAAAATATAAATTAATAAAAATAATATATTAAATAGTTTTCTAAGGTATATTCTCATCATCTAAAAAAGTAATACAAATTGTGATTCATCTCTTAATGTAATTATAAAATAAATATAGCGATTTTCCTTAAATAAAGTCTATTAATCAACTTTTTATCTTATGATTTAAAATTTTTAAAAGGAGTTTACTAAACTCCTACTATTAATATACCTAATTTTTAGTTTCTACCTTTTCTTTAAGCAATTTTCAATTCCTAAGAATGGTTTTGGCCACACATATTTACCATCAAACAGAGATATTTTCCGTTTGCAAAATGTGCACCTGTTCCTAGCATTCCTTTTTCCCTTTTCCCCTATTTATTTTCCAATTTCTGTTGCCAAAAATAAATGTGAGTCCCCTGCCAGCTGTAATTTTTGCAACAAGGATAATTTGTCATTGAAAGCACCCCCACCATTGTGGCAAAAGGGGGTTGCAACTTGCATGTTGCAACCTGCTACCTGCAACTGTGACTCACCTCACCTAGTTTCCACTGCGGAAATGGAGTGGAAATGCAGGGAGTTGCACAATAGGCCGCCTGAAGTGTCTTTTGCCACTTTGCAACTTTCTCCATTTCCCCGGTATTAGCGCACACACACACACACACCTTCTCTCGCTCCAGAACTTTCTCTGGAACGAAGAAGAAAATGAAGCCGGTCTAAGGAAAACCCGCCCAACCGGCTCTCGGGAAATTTGTCTAAGCAAATATTGCGCTTGCAGGTAAAGTGCAACTAGTTTTTCCAGAACAAGGGGGAAAACTTGCAATGGCAATGACCCAACAGGCTTTTAGCCTTGAATCTGCTGCAAGTGGAATGAAAAACCAGTTGGTGTGGATCAGAGGCAAAGCTAGAAAATGTAGTTTTTCACTTGTTAGGAAATGAATATAATTTTGGGAATAATGTTATTTAATTTTTGTACACCAAAGATTTCAGTTACACAAATTTTGTGTATATATTTTTATTAAGGGAAATTAATTAAAGATAATTAGAAGTGCTTTGTTGATCAAAGCTACCCTTAGTTTAGCGCTTTACAGCTCACAAAGTGTCCTTAACATAAGTCTCTATTATTTAACCTCCGTTTATAAGCTCAAAGTTACGAAAATATAATCTTTTTTATTACTTCTCTAAGACCTTCATTTATTTTTCCTTTTCCCAAAAAACTCAAAAACCATGCCCTTGGTCAAGTCCAATGCAATTGCTGCCAGAAAAGCTTCGAATTTGTTATTAAAACTATACAATTTCTGGTTGGCATCTTAATGGGGCCCTTGTCTCGACGCTATGACGCCAAATGAGCTGTCAGCACCGAACCACTACCCCCCAATTACCACCCCCCAAAAGCCACCCAGAAGTCCTCTGGCGCATTGATAAGACAACTTTTACTTTAGTGAGCAGCAGTGGTGAGCAGCAGAATTTTCTAGTTTTCACTTGTCACACAGAAGACGCGGGTGTTTGGGGTTAACTTGCAGTTGGAGTTGGGGCTTTCGGTGCCCTTTTTTCCTGGGCGCGGCACTTTCTAATAGTGTGGGGGAGCCATCAAATGAGTCAACAACAAAAGTGCAAATAAGCCAAAGGGAAAAGAGCGAAAGGCAATAGGAGGAGTGAGAGCAGAGTGCAGCGGGAGCCAAGAACCGACGACGACGACTCCTGGGGCCAAAGCAAGCGGTAGGGGTAGGTCAACCACCAGACATTGAACCCAGCACAAACACAGACACACACACACACACACAGCAAAGCAAACTTCCGTTGAGAGCGCTAACCAGAGAAAATGCGGAGAGAAATAGAAAGAGAGCCGCTCGTCAAGGGGATCGTGGAGGTTGGGGCAGAAAGCGTGCAGCACGTGAGTAACTTGCACAACAGTAAGAGGGAGACAGAATAAGCACAAGCAGTGCAATGTCTGCCTTGGTGAGCGAAAGAGAAAACCAAACAGGAAAGCTCGGTGACGATTCTTCAAGTACCCTGTAAAGAAGTAATTTATTTGTATTTAATACTTCGAGCCGGATAAATGGTTTAAGAAGAAATTGTTTAAGTGTTGTAATTACCACATAAATGTTGATTAAACTATTAATAATTTAATGTTGATTAAACTATTAATAATTGGTAACAACTTTTCGTTTATTTTAATTTTTATCGAGTTGGAGTAAGGAGTATTAAAAGTGCTGAATTAACTAAACAACATCGGCTCGGTCGTTGCCTAGCATCGTCGTGGTCGTCGTCGTCATCGTCGCATTTTACGCTAGTTTAGTGGGTTGAGTGACACAGACACAGTTTGCGGCCAGAGCGAGACGGGTGGGCGGTGCGAACGGGAGGGCGCAAGCGAACGAGTTTGCAATTGTGGAGTTTTGGTGGGGATGGGGGAAGCAGTTGCGATTTTGTAATCGCAAGCCAAGTGGCGACACAGGGTTGCCACTTCTATCAGTATGAAAAAATCAGTGACGACTAGATTCAACTAGGCATTAAAATATTTTCTAGTTATTATATTTTTTAGTACATTTTCTTTAAGTAAGTAAATTAATAGTTGTACATTTTATTACCTTGAAATATAATAGTGATAGATTCTACTCTTGAATACCCTTGCCTCTTAAAAGTATATTATGGAATTTTTAACTTTATTTTAAGTTACCTTTAATAACAAATTTATTTTTATTAATAGAAATTATATGATCAAAACATTCCATTTAAGCTTTTCAATACTCTCACCATCTGGCTACGCTTAACCCATGCCTTATAAAATATTTATGATAAGGAAAGAGCTGGAAAACAGCGAAAAGCGTGCATATTGCAAGCACAAAAAAAAAAAAAAAGAAAATGCCAAGTGATAAAGAAAAACTCCCCGAACGACCACTGCAGTTCTCCTCTGCCCTTCTTTCTTTTTTCCATATTCCTCCTTTCCCTTCATTCTCCATCATTCCATCATTCCTTTCTTCACTCTCTCTCTCTCTCTTTCTCTTTCTGTCTCCATTTTCATCTCCCATTCCAGAAACGAAGGCCCAACTCCGCGCTCAAGTTATGTTTCGGGATGTGGAGTATACCACTAGGATGGATGGATAGCTCACACAGATACGCTGCTTTTCCTGTCTGCAAGTGTGTGTTATGTGTGTGTGTGTGTGTACGTGTGAGACGAAGCGAATCGAGTCGAGAGTAGAGTAGGACAAAAGGGAGACACAATTTTGGTAGCAATGACCTTCACCGCGTTGTTCAAGTTGTCGTTGTTGTTGTCGTTTTTTGTTGTTGCTGCAGCTCCAGCACACAGACACACACACACACAAAGCGGCACACGAAAGCAAATGCAGATAAAGAGAGCGATAGAGGGAGAGAGTGGGAGCGAGGAAGACGGAATAAATGATGCATGAGTGCAGATGGTTGTGGAGTTTGTTTTGTTGTTTTGTGCGGGACATGGGGCGGTGGGTGCTTTTGGCCGCTAGGTGCCGCATTCGCATGCCACCCACCTCCTCCTAGATTTTGGGA